TGGGTGTGGTACTGGTGGCAGCAGCGGGAGTGGGTGTGGTACTGTGGCAGCAGCGGAAGTGGGTGTGCTATTGGTGGCAGTGGTGGGAGTGGGTGTGCTACTGGTGGCAGCAGTGGGACTGGGTGTGGTACTGGTGGCAGCAGTGGGACTGGGTGTGTTACTGGTGGCAGCAGTGGGAGTGGGTGTGCTATTGGTGGCAGCAGTGGGACTGGGTGTGGTACTGGTGGCAGCAGTGGGACTGGGTATGGTACTGGTGGTAGCAGTGGGACTGGGTGTGGTACTGGTGGTGGTAGCAGTGGGACTGGGTGTAGTACTGGTGGCAACAGTGGACTGGGTGTATTTATGGTGGCAGCAGTGGGACTGGGTGTGGTACTTGTGATAGCAGTGGGACTGGGTGTGGTACTGGTGGTAGCAGTGGGACTGGGTGTAGTACTGGTGGCAACAGTGGACTGGGTTTATTTATGGTGGCAGCAGTGGGACTGGGTGTGGTACTGGTGGCAGTGGTGGGAGTGGGTGTGGTACTGGTGGCAGTGGTGGGAGTGGGTGTGCTACTGGTGGCAGTGGTGGGAGTGGGTGTCCTACTGGTGGCAGCAGTGGGACTGGGTGTGCTACTGGTAGCAGCAGTGGGACTGGCTGTGGTTCTGGTGGCAGCAGTGGGACTGGGTGTGCTACTAGCGGCAGCATTTTGACTGTGTGTGCTACTGGTGGCAGCAGTGGGACTGGCTGTGGTACTGGTGGCAGCTTTTTGACTGTGTGCTACTGGCGGCAGCATTTTGACTGTGTGTGCTACTGGTGGCAGCAGTGGGACTAGATGTGGTACTGGTAGCAGCAGTGGGACTGGGTGTGCTATTGGTGGCAGCAGTGGGACTGGGTGTAGTACTGGTGGCAGCAGTGGGACTGGGTGTGGTACTGGTGGCAGCAGTGGGACTGGGTATGGTACTGGTGGTAGCAGTGAGACTGGGTGTGTTACTGGTGGCAGCAGTGAGACTGGATGTGTTACTGCATGGTGGTAGCAGTGAGACTGGATGTGCTACTGGTGGCAGAAGTATGATTGGGTGTGGTACTGGTGGCAGCAGTGGGACTGGGTGTGTTACTGGTGATAGCAGTGAGACTGGATGTGCTACTGGTGGCAGGAGTATGATTGGGTGTGCTACTGGGATTTTATATTGAATATGTTTGACAGTATGAATGAGGGGATCACAGACAGGATTATTTAATGCTGATGATGATAATCATAATGGTGGCAGCAGTCACAGAGATAAATCATAAAACTGGTCATATTTAATGTCAAATCATACAACTTCAGAAACGGTTTTTGTCAAGGAGAATTTGAGGGAAGTAGTCTGCCATTTGAAGGGTTTAAACCCGATTTGCATCTCTCAAATGTGAACTTGTAAGTTCCTGTATTGGATATCAGGTATTTCAAATTCAATTTAATCTGCAGATCATGTTCATTGGTATAGTTTAATTAAATTATTGCTGAAAATGACATTAATTGCTGTGTAATGTGAGAAATAAGTGGATTATTAAAAAAACTCCTATCAAGGTTCTCAGATATCAGATTTTTTTTCAAAATGAGATAAGAAAACGGTTGTTATTAAGTTGAAACAACCAATGTACAGAGCTTGTATTGAGTCAATAAAAATAGTAGTAAATAAAAACAAAACAAGCGTTTTATTTTGTTATATGAGAATTGATATCTTTGAAAGTAGATTCATTATTGGTATAAAGTCGCACTTGTTCTCTGAATCATTACAGGTGAATTTTCTAACACATGAAAGAAGGATACACAGACTTGTTTTGACATTCAACTGAACTTGAAGTCTATTTTTGTCAATACATCAAAAGAAAAAAATCTTCCACATGAGTTTAATACATGAATCATTTATTTAAACATGACATTTCAGCTTTAATATGAAATCAATAATTTTAAGTGATTTTGTGTGTCAGAACGATAAAAACTACGATGCATTAGAATCAGACATTGTCCTTTGAAAAGTCGAAAAATTGTTGGAGGCAATATGAGGTTAATATGACTACAGGGGAATCTAATAATAACACAGTGCTTCATTTCACTCCAGAATTTTGTCGATTATTAGTTTTCTGTTTTCATTATTTTTCAAGTGTATTCACCTTTGTGCGTGTTTTTCGTTGGCTTGTGCGTCTCATGCCTTGGAGCGGTATTTTAAGCGTATTCAATATGTAAACTCAATTCGCGCATGAATCTCCTCTTGGTGTTACTTAGTATGATTACTTTTACTTAAGTCTATTCGTGTCAAATAGCTTAGTATTATGGGATATTGATTGTTTATTGTCGTCTGGCCCGCAATGTTACCTTCTCAAGTTATATGTACTTTTTTTTCTGTCAAGTAAGACTTAATGTATTGCTTTCCATATCTCCATCTTTAACTGTCTATATTTTGCTGTATGGATAATGATATGGTAATAAATCCAGTGTAGGTTAGTTGGTCCTCTTTTTTGGGGGGGGGGGAGAAACTAAATATTTGGGTTCGTTCTATCCTTGTGTCTAGTTATTTCTTTAAAATTAGCATCAACTGACTTTTTTTCATACAAATATATACATCACATGTCAATGTTTCTATTAAATGTTAATTACTGCTAGCCATTTTTGATTCATAATTGTTTTTATGAAAAACTACTAAAAATGTGAATTACTAGTGCCTATTTTTGAATCAAAATTGTCTTCATCGTTGGAAACCTACTAAAAATGTGAATTACTCGTGCCTATTTTTGATTGAAAATAGTCTTCACTGATGAAAAACTACCAAAAATGTTGAAAATTGAAAGGCAACAAAAATTCTCTATATTTTTCTGAGAGAATGGTGTCAAATTAATGATGAAGAACAAATATAAAGTGGGGTACCTGAACTTGTTTCCATGAAAACAATAACATCGTGATTTCCCTATTTTTGATTTTCAAAATGGCCGAAATACACACAGTTGATAATTCAAAAAATAGTTTGGGTAGCACAGGTATTCCTTTGCGTTCTCAAATTGGTGTGCATCCAGATCTGAGAAATGAATGGGCCTGGTTATGTATATAAATTGTATTATCGTGATAATAGCACATATTAGGTTGCAAGTTATCCTATCAGTTTGATACCTACCTTTAACTTGTTTTGTTACAAAAAGATGAAAAAAAAAACTGTGCTTGTTTTGGTCAAGATTTTTGTCCAAGTTTTCCAGAACAAAAAACACAGAATAATTTAATGTTCATGATAATATAAGCACATGTTTTATAATAATTATTTTGCATAGTTTTAAATAAAAAAACAAACCTAAATTTTAACATCAATTATAGGAAATCAAATTGACCAAAAATGTTACAGATCAGTTGATTTGATTCCTGGTGAAAGTCCTTCTTTTTTTCTACAGTATACTCTACAGTAGTCTTACAAGAATACTTTCATTTTAAAACTTAATTTGAATCATTTCAGTTAACCCGAAATTTATTTATATTTTAAAGTGAGTAAATTAGTGCTGATGCTATTAAAAATAGTGATCTGAGTTATAGAAACGTACAACACCAGACTACAACTACCTGTTGCATTTTGAGTTGCATAGTGTTAAGGTAAAGATGTAGATAATTGAGCAAGGCTTGTATATCTGTTTTGAATGAGAAAAATATATCCTCTTTATAATGTAAAATTTATATATATATATTAAAAAAATATGTTCCGTTTATCTCAAGGACTTGAGAATTTTATTATAGTGTTGAAGTGCACTTAAGATTGTTGTGCATAATTAGTCTTTATTTGTTGAATTTTTCATTGATAGTAGCATATTTTGATATAATTTGAGGAATTCAGCCGTTGGTTCAATGTATGTTCATGATATGGATGTGGTCACTGTGTGTTGTTCACAATATTTATATTTCAAATTTTCACAAAATGAATCACATAATTTTTTCCATATTTTTTTTTTTTTAAATTTGATCTAGAACTGTAGATAATACAGAATCATGTTCATTTTATTCAAAATTCAAAGAAAAAAAATATATACATAAAAATATGCAAGATGTTGCAGCTATATAGCGGGAACAATTATGGGGTTTAAAAGTCCAAAAATAAATACAGGAAAACAGAAAATATGTACCATAGTTTCGGCGGGAAAATGTGAATCTGTATTCAGTATACGTTAAATATTGCAAGTGTAGGCGAAATGGAAATTAGTAAATTGGAAAATTAATCTCATTACAAACTTGTTACGGAAAGGCCATCCTAGAACATTTGGCATTTACAAATGAATTCCTTAATAGTTAATGTTTTGGACTAGACATGACGAGCACAGAATACGAAATAAGACAGTTAGATTATCAAAATATATTCCAACTTTGAATACCTTTCTATTTTTTAAGTATTATTTGCATGAAGTTTCCAAATGAAAGTATACCAGCTTAGGATTTGATATTTTACATTTTTGAATATTTTAATTACCGTACCATTCTTTTTATTTTTAAACCGATTTCCAACGTTGACTTTAACCACATACTTTAATAACCTTAACTTTGAACACCAAATTTTTGTCCCGCTTAATATTTGAGGTAAATTGTTCACATTTTCTGTAAATTTTACTGAATTCAATCTTATGTTTGGAGCAAACAGACAAATGTGACATTGGTTCTTATTTTCACAACATGGAAAAGATCAGACTATTAATGGAACTATATTGTGGATGGTGTCTAAAGTTGACTTTGGCACTCAAAGGGATAAATAAACTGCATATTTGTTTTTCTATAATTTTCAAAAAATTTGTTCAAAACAATTAAAATTATGTCAATTTGGATAAATTATAAAATTATACATGGAAATGTTGCACACAAATTTTTTGCCCCAAAAAAGTATGTGATTCTAGGTGTTAATTATCATGAAACATCATCTTTGCATTATGAGTCCTATTAATGTTTTGTTATTGCGACAAAACTACAAATACTGATTTATTTGCTTTTTTCAGGGTTGATAATGTGGAGAGATATTAGGCTGAAATACCAATAAACAAAAGTCGACATTGTAGCCTAACCTCCATTATTTTGACTTGATTTGTATTCTAAACACGAACCCGCAACCAATTTCGACTTCACAATAAAAATGTCATCAGTATGCACTTGAGATGTTCTGCTTGTTTACAAGCTTTTCTCTTTTTAGTTCATATTAACAAAGCCTCGTACACGATATGCATTTCACATATAACAGACGACTATTCTCGGCTACTGTCTGTCTCATGTTTATTTAATGCGAATTTTTTTTATTAGAATGTTAATAACAGATGACAGGAAATATCATTGTTGGAATTGATTGTAACTCTCGGTGTTACCATGTACAGATAATATCCTGCTGTTCTCATCAGCTTGTCTATTTCTAGTTGATTACCTGTATGTAAAGGTCCGACCAGTCAGCGTCTTTGTCTCCATCAGACATTTAATGCAATTCTTAAACAATTAAATTACAACACTGGGGATTACCATGGAGCGTGTGTTCTTCCACTCCAACGCATCACAATGGCAACGAGATAAACACAGGGCTATTAGAACACATCAGAGTTTTAATATTATGACTTTGATTCAGCTTCACTACTAAAAAACTAATCAGACGGCATGT